AAGTCAAATTATGTCTAACTCTCTGAATTAGTAGAAATTTGGGCAGCACTCCCTTTAGAAAATGAGACTTCCCAGATTTATACTAAGTCAGATATATGGAAAAGACAAGCTGAATTCTGACAAGTCAAAAGTTTAACTAACTTCTTGGTTTTGTAGAAATTTCGGCAGCCCTTCCCGTAGGAAAAGTAGCTTGCCAAGATTTATACAAGGCCAAGTATAAGAAAAAGATATCAGAAAATGCAGGAAATGACCTAAGTAAAAAAAAGTTATAACAGAAAAAACAGGAATTGACACTAACTCCTATGGCTCTAGCACGTGGCGAGCAACTACAGCAACTACCTATAGTAATGAAACTTAAACAAACTAGYCATCCCATCCAGTCACATGCAAACCAAACCACTACTGTAAGTACTCTCACCACTCCAAGTTTATTCCATATAGATAGTTTATGAACCTTCAAGTTCTTGAATCCYTRTACCCATCTTACATAAGACATAGAGCTGGACCATTCGCCATGGAAACAATGCCCAACTTGCCTTCACGATATACACGAACAGGTTGCACAACTACTTCTCTCTTCTTTAGGGCAGATGACTAGGCCATTCACCATGGAAACAATGCCTAGCCGCCCTGAGATGTTTAATATCCAAAATTTAGTATTTCTCTGACTTTGTTTTCAAAAGAAAAAGCAAATATGGGCAGGGGATTGAACCATTCACAGTAGAAACAATGTTCAGCTTGCCCAAAGTATTTTCATTTATACTTTGTATTTTCTCTTTTTCTCTTCCTAATGATATGGCTTAACGTTGGACCATTCACAGTAGAAACAATGCCCAGCTGCCAGTTCACATGCAAATATACATAAAATACTTTCCTTTATACTTAGTTTAAATTATGTGCGTGGTTTTCAGGCTWAACCATTCACCATGGAAACAATGCTTAGCCTTAGACAAAAAATCCTCCCTCAAAATAAACAAGAATTTAAACCCCTTCAATCAGACAAACCCTCAGAGTTAACTAAGGTAACCAGGCCATTCACAGTAGAAACAATGCCTGGTTCCCCTGAAACAATCAAATAAACACAGCGACCGGGCCATTCACAGTAGAAACAATGCCTGGTCCTTCAGAAAAACAGCCAAATAAACATAGCCCTGAGCCATTCACAGTAGAAACTATGCTCAGGCTTTGGTTGACCCGGTCAAACACATGCAGTCTACCTTCCTCCCACCTTCCCCCCAATTCATCCTTAGTCTGCTTTCAATCAGAACAAAGTAGAAACTTAGGCTTCACTCTCACACATTTTTTTTCCAGTTAGTCTAATTAGGTCCTGAAGAGAAAGCAAAAAACATAGGGACAATCGCATGCATACAATAATCATACTACAGGGGGATAAACAAAACAGGGGTGGTAGTAGGTTGTACAGATGAAAAGGTATRTACCTGATGGTTCCCTGCCTCCAGAACCTCGCCTAGGTTCCGGCAGAGCTCCCGCAATCGGTGGGGCGAMCCTCCCACAGAGGCCTTAGCGCGGACCTACGGGTTGCAATCCCGCCTGCCGCCTTCCTCTCGTACCCAATAGAGTAGACTTAGATTTTAGAAAAGCAGAAAGAGATAGGTTTGAGACTCTCAGATCCAAGAGTGGTGCTCTCAGTCTCGCAAGAGAGGGCCTTGTTGCCTTGATGCGCCTGAGGGCCCCCGCAATGGCAGCCAATTAGTATCAGCTTGACCAAAGTTCCGGTTCAAAATGTTGAAGTCAAACCCTCTACTAACCCTTTTTAAATCGCAGCACTARCTTCCCTCCTCGTCCAGTCCGTCCACCTCTCCAAGCCTCGCCCGATCGCRGYCGTTTATCAGCGTGTAACGGTCCTTAGTCATAGCAGCAATTCATACGCAGTCCCTTGGCGCAACATCAATATACGACAGTGGCCAGGTAGCAACAGCAGTGGTTCTGCCACAAACGCAGCGACATATGGCAACAGCAAGCGGTAACAGCAGTAACCCAGCGACAGATATCGTCGCACACAGCTTTAGCCAACAGCAATAACTGCAGTCCAACAGCAAAAGCCGTGGTTTTCAGCAGTGGCAATCTGTGCACAACTTGCGATGGTCCTGGAGCAGTAGTCTATGCACGGCTACGTAACCCAGCAACCGACTGCAATAGCAACAGTCCGTGCGCAGTCTGCCGTAACAGCCAACAGCCAGTCCGCAGTTCCCAGTTTTGTAGTCCACAGTCCACAGTTCTGTTGCCCACAGTCCGTTTGGCTCATCCCGCCTGTAGCATTCCCCTTCCCCGTTTCAACAGCAACTTCGCAGCATACTCTTGCACGACCCACCGTCTGTAGTCACTCCACCTTGACCAACAGTACAAGCGGAGTCCCAATCTCAAACTGTAGTACCGGGCGGACTACTTTTAAACCCAACCTGGCGCCTCTCCTCATCCTTCGAAGTAGCCGGCCAGTATTCCCGCTAGACACACATTCTAAAGCCAAGGAGCCCTGCTGCACGAGCCTTGCTAAGCGGGAGTGAAGTCGTTGACCATGAGCCCGGCCCGTATACACACCAACTGAATCCTCGTGACGACAACAACTGTAGCTGCTGTAAGTACAAACGTCCAGGTGAGCTCGTAAAGGTCAATATGGCGGGGKCACATTCACGAATCTCATTTCACCACTCGTGACGCGAGCAACTGAGGGTGTGTTTCCCTGCTGAAACTCGGGTAAACATACTACCCTACACCGTGCCCCCTTCGAGTCGCTCAGCACCGACTCTAGCGTAGCCCGACTCCCAGTTCACTTGGCCTCTCTGACTTTCTGTGGTAGGTGTTTCGCGCCTGGCCCCGTCGCTCAGCCTCGAGCTCCCTACTGTGTCTTGGTAGGCGCCTGCACCTGGTCGCTCGTACGACCAGGTTCACTCGCTGTCATGGTGTGAATACCTCGGCCTGAGAGAGCCCCTTAACAAGCGTTTTGGAGAGAGAGAGTTGCGGTGGCCACCAGGTAAGTTTCCAACCCCRYTGTTCYTTCGCGCCGYTCTTGGCAGTAGGTTATACGAAGTTGAATGAATCTGCCCCTAAACACGGGTAGATTCATTCCATACTCATATACTAGCCTACCATCCCCCCCAGGCGCAACTCAAAACAACTATACCTCCTACCCTACTGACTATTGTGCCAATTCACCCGCACATTCCAACTCGCCTAACTCCAAACCCCCAAAATCACCCTTTGAATGACTAAATTCGGTTCAGAAATGACCGACCCAATCTGTTTTAACTCAGACTTCTCCTTCTCGTCGCCATCCCCGACTACTCGGCGCAGTCTGATCTTTTACTAACTCTCTATCTACTTATCCCAATGCTGAAACTAGCAGTACTATCTGATTCGCCCGGGGTCAAAACCCGGGGATATCATCTTTCCTCGCTCGAATCCGATCGGAAACGAGCGAGATATTCATTTCTTCRTCTCTTCCTCCCTCACCTCCGCCATAGCCTCCGCGCAGTTCTTTCCCCTTCTAACACTAATTCTACTCACTCTCTCCTACAACTAACCTCTCTATGTGATTCRCCCGGCCTAAAAGCATCAAACTAGCATCTTYCSCCGCTTGATTCCGCCAAGGATAGGGTGTGGAAGACGTACTTCCTCTCCGCCATGACCAACTTCTGCCATTTCTCTTGCTGCACGTATCTGGCGCGAAATCGCGCTGGGTTCACCCCTTCGATGCTCTGCTCTGCTCCCCGTTCGTGCCCCTGCGCTCGACCTTCAGGCTGGCCCGCTGTCCAGTCAGCCTACTGCTCTAACTCRTCTCCACTTCGCCACACCGCCTCGACACTCCGCCCGCGGTTGCACAGCACTGTCCGGCATGCCCG